TGGGGTTCAGACCTGCCTGCCTCGTGGGTGGTGCGGAGGGAGCTGCTGCTCTCGGGAGTGCCAGAGGGGGGTGAAAGTTGCTGCTGACTCCAGCAGATGAGAAATTACCCAACAGAGGGGGAGATGCCAGCACCATCCTGCAGTGCTCTCCAGCCCCAGCCGGGCGGCACGCCTCGTGGGGAGCAGCCCTCAGCCCCCAGCCCTGCTCCCGTGTGCTGATCTGGTTCTGATCCGGGGTTTATTTCCAGGAAATGAACTGTCTGAGAAAACAATCCACTGGAGACGTGAGTGTGGAGGTCAATGCCTGCCCTGGACCAGATCTGAGGCAAATCTTGGAGGATTTGAGATGTCAGTATGAAACACTGATAGCGCGCAACCGCAAGGAAGTGGAGGATTGGTATGAGTGCAAGGTAAGAGACACGCTTGCTGCAGAGCAAACTGACAGGGACGCTGCAGGGCACAGGAGCATTTCAGAAAGCAGCCAAGGAGACAATAAGCAGTTCTTCCCTTGCACGCAGCCCGAGATCAGCCCTTATTACACCCTGTGCTCCCCAGGAGACGCAGCCCTGTCTGACCAGTTTGTTATGTCCCACCTGGAACAGCAGCATTTGCCCAGGGCCTTGCGGTGTGTTGCTGGAACTGAGATATTCCACACTAGGATTAAAGAGTTTTAACAGCCACGAGGTTAACACGACTTGTAGAAACACCAAGCCGTCGGAGCCGACGGTTAACGCCCAGTGCCCAGAGAACTCGCTCTGCTCCCTTTGCTTTCTGCGAGCTACGCGCTGTGTTCTGCTGCTGCCACGGCACGTCCAGTTTCACAGACATTCTCTGAAGCTCTTTATTTTGTTTGGTGATTTTCAGATTGAGGAGGTGAATCGGGAGGTTATTACAAGCGGTCAGGAGGTGGAGACGTGCAACAACCAGGTTACGGAACTGAGACGCCAATTGCAAGCCCTGGAGATCGATCTCCAGGCTCAGCTCAGCCAGGTGGGTGTGAGGTTACCTGCAGCTCCGACACGGTTCCTGCGGGATGGCTCAGCATCAGCAGCCAGACCTACCCGTCGACAGCAGGGGGGAACAGCTCTTTCATTTTTGCATTAGAAATAATGAGCTCCAGGGTGACACGTAAATGAATGTTGCTTATTTCTTTGGTTGCTGTGTTTATCAGAGAAATAATTTGGAATCCTCTCTGGCTGAGACTGAGTGTCAGTACAACACACTCCTCGGTGAGCTACAGAACCAGATCACGTGTGTGGAGCAGCAATTGGCTGAAATAAGAGCGGAAATAGAGTGCCAGAACCAAGAGTACAAGACCTTATTGGACGTCAAGTGCCGTTTGGAGCAGGAGATTCAGACCTACCGGTGCTTGTTGGAAGGAGGACAGCAGGACCTTATGTACGTAGCTCTCTAAATCCACTTGAGAATAAATGGAAAGATCTAGGATCTGTATTACACACTGGGAGACTGGGAATCTGGTATCATCTTTAGTCCATCTCAATGCTTTCTTTGAGAGGAAAAATTGTCTCATAAGCACTTTCCTGTGATAAACATTCAAATCTGAACTAAACGTCACTCCCTGGCATCTGCAAAGCACAGAAACCAAATCTGTTAACTGCTAGATGGTAACTCCTAGTGTTACGTCAGTATTCATAACAATCTCTTGTCTACAGTACGATGGGCAGGAACTGTCAAGATAAGAATTAATTGTAACACTCTGCATTGCATTTCCACGCCAAAGGGGGGCACAAATGCAAAGTAACTCTGAAAATGAAAAAAGAACGCAATGTGAAACACCCGAACCCCTATAAACGACATAGTTTGAGACTCTGTGCCCTTGTTAATGTCATGTAAGGTTCTAAAATTCCCTGTTTCTTTCACCAAATTTATCCCACTAGCCATGGAGTAGGAAGTGGTGTAGGAGGAGGAGTCATTAGGACAAGCCACACCTATACTACGACTTCAGCTTCCCACTGTCAGCCCCAGGTCCCGCCCTGCAAGACTGGAGATATACAAGGTAAGAGCAGTGCTTCCACAAAAGGAAAACTGGGCGTTTTTTCAGTTTGTTCCTTTGTAATAAGGCCAGGAGACAACACACGCTCCTGGAACACGTTCCTGGTATCAGAGAGTTCCTGTGCTACAGGGATGATCTGTTACGACGGATCCAGCCGCACTGTGAAACTGGCGGTGTCCCTGGGAAACCCGTGCGCAGAGAGCTCTGAGTACGGAGCAGCAGAAAGCAAATGAGAGACAAGCGGGAGCAGCAGGACAAGAGGAGGAAGCTGGGGAAATGGGGCGTGGGGAAAAGTTCTGGGAGTAGAAGTAAAGAAGACAGCCAAACAGATTAGCAAAAGGGCCTGGAAGGAGTGAAAAGAAAAGCAAATGTATAACGTGACAAGTGCAAATTCCCACTAAAACACAATTTCAGGGACTTTGGGGGTTTCTTGGGTTGTCTGCCAACTGCTCTTGGTTAACAGAGTATGTTCTTGAGATAAGGGCACTACACAGACCAAACTGTTGTTACCTGAAGGATTTAATCTCTGTTCCAATCAAATAATTCTGCTACATTTTTCTCCAGTGACCTGCAGAAGAATTTGTGATTAAGGAGGAATGGACTGGAAGATGACATGCAGAGAAACCCCCAGACAAAACAAGAACTCTCGATGTTCACTGCACGCCTCTACGCAGAGAAAGTAGAAGTAACTCCGCGACGCTTTGCCTTGTATCTCAGGGGGCCTGTTGGGGGCCACCTTCTTCTCCGGCTGCTGCCTCTGCTCTGTAACGCTGTAATCTCTAGAAGTGGTTTGAGTTAGTCAGGATCGCTAGTGTACCTGCTGGTGAAAAACTTCTCTAATAAAACTTTGCTTCTGCCTGATGCAATCAAACCTGTGTCTGGAAACTGAGTTCCTTCAGAAACCAGCTGCTGGTCCCTGCACAAGGGTCACCTCAGCTGGTCAGCCCTCCCTGGAGCCCGTCTCCAGCTGCTCTCCAGATGTGTCAGGCACTAACCTGAGAGCGTTTTGACTGCTGGGCAGTGCGATGTCGGTCATACACGTCTCAACAGATCTTCACCGCAGTCATCTGGGGGGGGGGAGGTGTCTTCTGAGCCCACCTGTCTGCTGGACTCCTGTGACGCCTCTCTGCAGAGCAAATCCCAGCAACTCTGTGCCAGACGCCTGTGTGGGGCCAGGGGCTGCGCAACAAGTGCCTGTTCTGTTCGGTGGCTGTAAGCAGAGCCGAGAACAGGCGCTGAGACAACAGCGTTCAAATTTTATCATGAGTCTCCTCTTCTCTTGAGGCAACCATGGGGTGGTTGGACATCTGCAGAGGTGCAGAGACACTCACAGTATGGAAAAAGCCGATGGCCTGAAAGCCCTTCTTAGAGCCTTTATAACGTGGCACAAACACTGCTCACACCTAAACACATGTAAAATATTTTGAAGTCCTTTGCTGAGAAATTAAAAAACATCTGGAGTGTAAAAGCAAGTACATTTCCCCAAATCCCTTTCCTGAATAGACCACCC